ATCCCTCCATACACGTGTATGGAGGGGAACAAAGTGGGTGCCAGCTATCACAGCTGGCACAAAATATCTACCAAAAGTAGATGAACAGTGATTGGCCACTCAAAATTGCCATTTTGACAAAATGGACTGCCGACCGGCAACAAAGAATGCCGACCGGCAATATACATTGCCGACGGCAACAAACAACACCAGTGGCCTCTGGCATGGCCGGTGATGTGTGGGGATCCCTCACAGGGCATTCCCTGCCCCTCCAAGGCAAAACACAAGTGTTTGGTGCAAAACCAGACACTAAAGAGTCGAGTTCGGAGATCCTGAGGCAAGGCGCGTAGCCGAGACCTCCAGGAACTCCAAACGAACACAAACATGGATGATCACGGGTGTTCAAACGGTGACGTCCAAGTCTTGAGGACGGTCAAAATGGGTTTACAGATTGTAACAATGATGTGGATGCACGCATGCATAGCATAAGGTATGCTAAATTAAACATGTCCTATTACTAACCATCAAAGCAGGTAAATAAAAGGGAAGAAAAACGTGGGGTTGGAAGACATACACACACTCACGCACACTTATTACACAATTGCCCTCACTCAGAGGGTCCAAATAAATATTACAGTCCAAATAATAAACACATAAATTATTACAGAATTTCTAATTAATTAACAGAATGAATGCAAAAAGAAAGGTGGCCACAGCCCCCATCTCGGGATGCGCGAATGATGCATGCTCGAACCCGTCTCGCCCGGAAAGTCCGTACCATACCACTGCCGCCTCTGTTTACACTGCCCTGCTTCTCTAAAAATTGCAAAAGTTCTGGGACAGGTCCCCTGAACACTGTGGAACACCATCGACTGAAGGAAATGTCCACCGGCCCTTGAAAATATCCGTCGGCTGTTGATGAAGCTATCGGCCCAGGAAGGATTGTCGGTCGGCACTGAACACTGCCGGTCGGCAGAAAGTTCCTGCAGAATCTGGTTTTTGACAGCAACAAGGACAGACAGTGTATGGCATGGAATTTCAAGCAAGTGTATGCATGGCTACTCTCCCAATCATGTAACGAACTCAAAGGAGTATGGCCCTTGACCCTCGGGCTATCAATCGTGCATTTGATGCATGATAGCCTAAGGAGCCAAGGTTGCAATTCAATGTAAAAATACATGCAACACACAAATAAGAACCAAGAGCCTATCATGCCAAAGTCAAGGGCCTCGGTGACCAAGGGTTGAGGTGTGTTTTGTCACTCGAAGTGCAAACGCCCCTCATCCCTCACACTTGGTTTGACACCCCAAACCAAGCAATGCAATGCATGTTATGCAAACATGGCTCAAAATGTAATATGATACTAAGATGCAAAACATGTCAAATGTGATGCAATCTATCATGTTAAGTATGCAAAATGCTAGTCATATGAGATGCAAATGTGATGCAAACATGGACCAATATGCTATAAGGCTAGCATGGGACAACATATAATGAACCAAATAAGCAACAAGCATATGATAAGCATGCAATGGTGGACTTAAACCATAAATGGCAGACCTCAAACTTGCCATAAACAGTGGCCAAAATGATGTACAAGAGCACAAATGATGCATGCAAGCATGCACACATCAAGCTCCATCACCTAAGCATGAAAGGGGACGACTCTAAGCATACTTAAAGGCGATATAAAAGGGCATTAAACCAACATTCTAGGCTCTGAAAATGAATGGAGGATGATCCCAAATCGAACAAATCATGCAAGTAAGGCATGCAACAATGACCATTACTTGAAGCCAACAAAGGGGGTCAAACCAAAGCTATGTCAACCAAACCTTAAAGGACCAAAATGACCTAAAAAAATCCCAAGGGACTCCAAAACAAGACTAAAGCGTGCATAGATCATGGTCAAAACAGGCCAAGGAATGAGTCCAAAACAAGGGCATTTAAGGCCACCAAAAGGGAGCATCACTCAATACCTATCCCAAGCAATCATGGCATGAATTTTCAATGCAAAACAGAGTTCTAGCATGCAAAAGGGGCCTCAAAACCCACTGATATGGCAGCCTAAATGCTTAAGCATGGTAGCATACACAATGACCACCCTTTAAGGCGCAAAACTACAACACTTCAAGGCAATGAATGGGACGCAAATGATAGTGTAAGATCACATTATATGGACTGAAACATGATATTAAATGATGCCGAATGATGATAACAAGCTTATGCTAAGCATGTTGGTGACCCATACGACCAAGGCTTACAAGCCAAAATGCAAAGCAACTATATCAAGCATGCCAAACATGACAAAATCAGTGGCTAACAGACTTTAAGCATGACAAAACATGGCCAAATACTTCACAAGGTTAAGTCAAAACAAGAGGATATGCTAGGCTAAACACATAGTACACTTCTAGGCAAGATGGAGAGTTATAAAGCAAGTATAAAATGCATGCTAAGGGCCAACAAACCACCATTGGACAGAGATATAATATGACCCAAAACACCCAAAAAACTTCTGAAATGGGACCAAAAATAATCAAGCATGCATGTTGCCCTTTTAAGCCAAAATAAGGGTAAAAGAAGGACAAAGGGGAAAGGGGTGTCCCTCCCCTACACAAGACTTCAAAACCACTCCATCACCACTGAAAATCCACCGGATTTTAGTGGTGAGAAGACCAACACAACAAAGTAAACAAAGGTTAAAGAAAAGGGTACCAAAATAGGCCAAAAGGGGCCTAAGGGGAGGATTTCGACCCCCAATGCCAAAACACCCTTAATGAAAGATGTTAAGCCCAAAAATACAGGACTTTTTCATGTTAAACACAAAGCCTAAATCAGCATGCAAGACAGGTAGAAAACTAGTGCAAGATTGGGGAAACTAAAGCAAGTGTCACACCCTTGAAGAAGCCTTGAAGAACAGATGATCCAGCCACTCTCTATTGATCAAAATCAGTCCAAAACCTCAACAAACAACCCTCAATGCCTCTCAATCTCGGAGCAAGGTGTAATGGTGTGTGTGTTAGTGCAAAAGTGAGGTCAAAATGCACTTTTAGGCTTCCAAACACACCCTAAGAATGAGAGAGAGGGAGATATAGAGAGGGAGTGTGTATGTATATGTATAAGCTCTGGTTGTTCTTTCAAAATTGCCAACCTAGAAGAAAGAGGAGAGCTCTCCTCTTATAGAAGTCCCCCTTGCAAAGCTTACCAAACAAGCTTGCTTAGAGGGAAGTCCCTCCATACACGTGTATGGAGGGGAACAAAGTGGGTGCCAGCTATCACAGCTGGCACAAAATATCTACCAAAAGTAGATGAACAGTGATTGGCCACTCAAAATTGCCATTTTGACAAAATGGACTGCCGACCGGCAACAAAGAATGCCGACCGGCAATATACATTGCCGACGGCAACAAAACACCAGCCGGTGGCCTCTGGCCATGGCCGGTGATGTGTGGGGATGCCTCACAGGGCATTCCCTGCCCCTCCAAGGCAAAACACAAGTGTTTGGTGCAAAACCAGACACTAAAGAGTCGAGTTCGGAGATCCTGAGGCAAGGCGCGTAGCCGAGACCTCCAGGAACTCCAAACGAACACAAACATGGATGATCACCGGGTGTTCAAACGGTGACGTCCAAGTCTTGAGGACGGTCAAAAATAGGGTGTCTACAGATGTGTACAGATGATGGATAAGAGTTGGATTGATTTGCCAAATAGGATGTCGAGCGAATACATTAATGGGATTGATGAATTCCTTGTGTTTGCCTACACCAATAGGGTTGAAGGTTCGAAGATCAGTTGCCCGTGTAGGAAGTGCGAGAATCGATACTATTTTGTACGAGAGGGTGTACGGGAGCATCTGATTTTGAATGGTTTTTTTAAAAAATACAAACATTGGATTAATCATGGGGAATCTTACATATCTCTGCATAGTAATCGAGAGAATGAAACATTAGCTAATTTAGACATTGGAGATGATATGATTGGAATGATACAAGGGGCTATGGGAAATCCACATGCCAGTACAAGTGTTGAGGGTGATGAACCACAGGGGCCTGATCCCCGTGCATCTGAACCCCAGCTCGGTCCAAATGCAGAGACTGCAAAGTGTTTCAAACTTCTTCAAGATGCACAAAGTGAATTGTATCCAGGTTGTCAGAAGTTCACATATTTGTCGTTCATTGTTCGACTTCTACATCTGAAGGTGCTTAATCAGTAGATAGACAAGTCTATTGACATTTGCTTGAGTTATTGAATGAGGCGTTTCCGTTGGGTGTGAAACTCCCGGACTCATATTATAAAGCTCAAAAGGTCACAACAGATTTGGGCTTCACGTATGAGACGTGGGATGCATGTCCCAACAGTTGCATGTTGTTTCGAAACGAGGACGCCAATCTTGATAAATGTGTCATATGCAACAGTTCTAGATGAAAATCAAATGGTGATTGTGGTTCAAATGGTCCTAACAAAGGTGGCAAACGAATAGCTGCAAAACAGATGAGGTATTTTCCTTTAAAGCCAAGGTTGCAGAGGTTGTTTATGTCATCCAAGACGGCCAAGTTAATGAGATGGCATGCAGAGGAACGAACTGATGATGGTGTCTTCAGCCATCCTGCTGACTCCCTTGCATGGAAAGATTTTGACCGTCGGAATATTGACTTTAGTAATGATTGCCGAAGTGTAAGGCTTGGCTTAGCATCTGATGGTTTTAACCCATTCAGAACGATGAACATAGTTCATAGCACTTGGCCTGTTGTGCTCGTTCCATACAACTTGCCGCCATGGATGTGCATGAAGCAACCATTTCTAATTTTCGCCGTGCTTATTGACGACCCAAAAGGACCTGGTGACAAGATTGATGTGTATATGCAACCGTTGATTGAGGAGTTGAAAGAACTATGGAATGAAAGTGTGTCAACATTTGATGCATCAACAAATCAAATGTTTCAAATCTTCAAGTTTTTTATTTTTTTATTTTTTTCAAATCATATGCTCTAATTAGAAATAGTTTGTCAAAATCAGTAAAAATTATATGCATATATATATAGTTTGTCTAATTAGAAATAGTTTGTCAAAATCAGTAAAAATTATATGCATATATATATAGTTTGTCTAATTAGAAATAGTTTGTCAAAATCAGTAAAAATTATATGCATATATATATAGTTTGTCTAATTAGAAATAGTTTGTCAAAATCAGTAAAAATTATATGCATATATATATAGTTTGTCTAATTAGAAATAGTTTGTCAAAATCAGTAAAAATTATATGCATATATATATAGTTTGTCTAATTAGAAATAGTTTGTCAAAATCAGTAAAAATTATATGCATATATATATAGTTTGTCTAATTAGAAATAGTTTGTCAAAATCAGTAAAAATTATATGCATATATATATAGTTTGTCTAATTAGAAATAGTTTGTCAAAATCAGTAAAAATTATATGCATATATATATAGTTTGTCTAATTAGAAATAGTTTGTCAAAATCATATGCTCTAATCATATGCTCTAATCCTTTAAGTTTAAATTATCAATTTTTTTTTTCTATTTCATCCATAAATTATCAATTTTACCATTCAATCCTTCAAGTTTTTTATTTTTTTATTTTTTCCAAATCATATGCTCTAATTAGAAATAGTTTGTCAAAATCAGTAAAAATTATATGCATATATATATAGTTTGTCTAATTAGAAATAGTTTGTCAAAATCAGTAAAAATTATATGCATATATATATAGTTTGTCTAATTAGAAATAGTTTGTCAAAATCAGTAAAAATTATATGCATATATATATAGTTTGTCTAATTAGAAATAGTTTGTCAAAATCAGTAAAAATTATATGCATATATATATAGTTTGTCTAATTAGAAATAGTTTGTCAAAATCAGTAAAAATTATATGCATATATATATAGTTTGTCTAATTAGAAATAGTTTGTCAAAATCAGTAAAAATTATATGCATATATATATAGTTTGTCTAATTAGAAATAGTTTGTCAAAATCAGTAAAAATTATATGCATATATATATAGTTTGTCTAATTAGAAATAGTTTGTCAAAATCAGTAAAAATTATATGCATATATATATAGTTTGTCTAATTAGAAATAGTTTGTCAAAATCAGTAAAAATTATATGCATATATATATAGTTTGTCTAATTAGAAATAGTTTGTCAAAATCAGTAAAAATTATATGCATATATATATAGTTTGTCTAATTAGAAATAGTTTGTCAAAATCAGTAAAAATTATATGCATATATATATAGTTTGTCTAATTAGAAATAGTTTGTCAAAATCAGTAAAAATTATATGCATATATATATAGTTTGTCTAATTAGAAATAGTTTGTCAAAATCAGTAAAAATTATATGCATATATATATAGTTTGTCTAATTAGAAATAGTTTGTCAAAATCAGTAAAAATTATATGCATATATATATAGTTTGTCTAATTAGAAATAGTTTGTCAAAATCAGTAAAAATTATATGCATATATATATAGTTTGTCTAATTAGAAATAGTTTGTCAAAATCAGTAAAAATTATATGCATATATATATAGTTTGTCTAATTAGAAATAGTTTGTCAAAATCAGTAAAAATTATATGCATATATATATAGTTTGTCTAATTAGAAATAGTTTGTCAAAATCAGTAAAAATTATATGCATATATATATAGTTTGTCTAATTAGAAATAGTTTGTCAAAATCAGTAAAAATTATATGCATATATATATAGTTTGTCTAATTAGAAATAGTTTGTCAAAATCAGTAAAAATTATATGCATATATATATAGTTTGTCTAATTAGAAATAGTTTGTCAAAATCAGTAAAAATTATATGCATATATATATAGTTTGTCTAATTAGAAATAGTTTGTCAAAATCAGTAAAAATTATATGCATATATATATAGTTTGTCTAATTAGAAATAGTTTGTCAAAATCAGTAAAAATTATATGCATATATATATAGTTTGTCTAATTAGAAATAGTTTGTCAAAATCAGTAAAAATTATATGCATATATATATAGTTTGTCTAATTAGAAATAGTTTGTCAAAATCATATGCTCTAATCATATGCTCTAATCCTTTAAGTTTAAATTATCAATTTTTTTTTTCTATTTCATCCATAAATTATCAATTTTACCATTCAATCCTTCAAGTTTTTTATTTTTTTATTTTTTCCAAATCATATGCTCTAATTAGAAATAGTTTGTCAAAATCAGTAAAAATTATATGCATATATATATAGTTTGTCTAATTAGAAATAGTTTGTCAAAATCAGTAAAAATTATATGCATATATATATAGTTTGTCTAATTAGAAATAGTTTGTCAAAATCAGTAAAAATTATATGCATATATATATAGTTTGTCTAATTAGAAATAGTTTGTCAAAATCAGTAAAAATTATATGCATATATATATAGTTTGTCTAATTAGAAATAGTTTGTCAAAATCAGTAAAAATTATATGCATATATATATAGTTTGTCTAATTAGAAATAGTTTGTCAAAATCAGTAAAAATTATATGCATATATATATAGTTTGTCTAATTAGAAATAGTTTGTCAAAATCAGTAAAAATTATATGCATATATATATAGTTTGTCTAATTAGAAATAGTTTGTCAAAATCAGTAAAAATTATATGCATATATATATAGTTTGTCTAATTAGAAATAGTTTGTCAAAATCAGTAAAAATTATATGCATATATATATAGTTTGTCTAATTAGAAATAGTTTGTCAAAATCAGTAAAAATTATATGCATATATATATAGTTTGTCTAATTAGAAATAGTTTGTCAAAATCAGTAAAAATTATATGCATATATATATAGTTTGTCTAATTAGAAATAGTTTGTCAAAATCAGTAAAAATTATATGCATATATATATAGTTTGTCTAATTAGAAATAGTTTGTCAAAATCAGTAAAAATTATATGCATATATATATAGTTTGTCTAATTAGAAATAGTTTGTCAAAATCAGTAAAAATTATATGCATATATATATAGTTTGTCTAATTAGAAATAGTTTGTCAAAATCAGTAAAAATTATATGCATATATATATAGTTTGTCTAATTAGAAATAGTTTGTCAAAATCAGTAAAAATTATATGCATATATATATAGTTTGTCTAATTAGAAATAGTTTGTCAAAATCAGTAAAAATTATATGCATATATATATAGTTTGTCTAATTAGAAATAGTTTGTCAAAATCAGTAAAAATTATATGCATATATATATAGTTTGTCTAATTAGAAATAGTTTGTCAAAATCAGTAAAAATTATATGCATATATATATAGTTTGTCTAATTAGAAATAGTTTGTCAAAATCAGTAAAAATTATATGCATATATATATAGTTTGTCTAATTAGAAATAGTTTGTCAAAATCAGTAAAAATTATATGCATATATATATAGTTTGTCTAATTAGAAACTAGTTCCTTAAGAAACTTGAATTCGAGGTGTTAACGCCCCAAAATCACCAAACGGCGTCGGTTTAGCATGAAACTTGGCACACACGACCGGATGGTGCTGGGCCATCACAGTCAACACCCCATCCATCGACTATTGATCAGATCACGCAGCAGGTTCGTGCTGAGCTAAGGGATGAGTTGAGGGAGGAGCTGCGAGCAGAGTTCTCTACACATTTGCAGCAGATGAGAGCTGAGATGATGGCCCTTGTGTCACAGGGGGCGAGTGTGGATCCCAACAGACAGGTTCCATATAAACATCACAATTGTTTGATAGTTCAATTTTCACTCAAGATTATGTATGAAATTCGAATATGATTAACACATTATGCACTGACTAACATAGGTTCCTGATGCATCGAGTGGCCACCGGGCATTTAGGGAATCTGCAGAAGATGAGAATCCATATACACCACCACCAGAAGATCAGGTATAAAATGTATCTTTGCATAATTAAGACTTCTAAGTTAAAGAGACTTGTGGGAGAAGACAGGACTAGTTAGAGCCGAATTTCGCACGAAACTTGGCACACACGAGGGCGTAGGCACGAGAGACTTGTGGGAGAACACAGGGCTCAAATCGGGTTCCCGGTTGGAGAGTTAGAGCCGGATTTCACTTTAGGCAAACTAGTTCCTTAAGAAACTTGAATTCGAGGTGTTAACGCCCCAAAATCACCAAACGGCATCGGTTTAGCACGAAACTTGGCACACACGACCGCCTAGGCACAAGAGACTTGTGGGAGAAAATGGGGCTCGAATCGAGTTCCCGGTTTGGGAGTTAAAGCCTGATTTCACTTTCGGCACACTAGTTCCTTAAGAAACTTGAATTCGAGGAGTTAACGCCCCAAAATCACCAAACGGCGTCGGTTTAGCACGAAACTTGCCACACACGACCGCCTAGGCACGAGAGACTTGTGGGAGAAGACAGGGCATGAATCGGGTTCCCGGTTTGGGAGTTAGAGCTGGATTTCAATTTAGGCAAACTAGTTCCTTAAGAAACTTGAATTCGAGGAGTTAACGCCCCAAAATCACCAAACGGTGTCGGTTTAGCACGAAACTTGGCACACACGACCGCCTAGGCACGAGAGACTTGTGGGAGAAGACGTGGCTCGAATCGGGTTCCCGGTTTGGGAGTTAGAGCCGGATTTCACTTTAGGCAAACTAGTTCCTTAAGAAACTTGAATTCGACCCCAAAATCACCAAACGGTGTCAGTTTAGCACGAAACTAGGCACACACGACCGCCTAGGCACGAGAGACTTGTGGGAGAAGACAGGGCTCGAATCGGGTTCCCGGTTTGGGAGTTAGAGCCAGATTTCACTTTAGGCAAACTAGTTCCTTAAGAAACTTGACTTCGAGGTGTTAACACCCCAAAATTATCAATCGGCGTCGGTTTAGAATGAAACTTGGCACACACGACCATCTTGGCACGAGAGACTTGTGGGAGAAGACGGGGCTCGAATCGGGTTCCCGAGTTGGGAGTTAGAGCCGGATTTCACTTTAGGCAAACTAGTTCTTTAAGAAACTTGAATTCGAGGAGTTAACGCCCCAAAATCACCAAACGGCGTCGGTTTAGCACGAAACTTCGTACACACGACCGTCTAGGCATGAGAGACTTGTGGGAGAAGACGGGGCTCGAATCGGGTTCCCGGTTTGGGAGTTAGAGCCGGATTTCACTTTAGGCAAACTAGTTCCTTAAGAAACTTAAATTCGAGGTGTTAATGCCCCAAAATCACCAAACGGCGTCGGTTTAGCACGAAACTTGCCACACACGACCGCCTAGGCACGAGAGACTTGTAAGAGAAGACGAGGCTCGAATCGGGTTCCTGGTTTGGGAGTTAGAGCCGGATTTCACTTTGGGCAAACTAGTTCCTTAAAAAACTTGAATTCGAGGAGTTAATGCCCCAAAATCACCAAACGGCGTCAGTTTAGCACGAAACGTGGCACACACGACCGCCTAGGCACGAGAGACTTGTGGGAGAAGACGGGACTCGAATCGGGTTCCCGGTTTGGGAGTTAGAGCCGGATTTCACTTTAGGCAAACTAGTTCCTTAAGAAACTTGAATTTGAGGTGTTAACACCCCAAAATCACCAAACGGCATCATTTTAGCACGAAACATGGCAGACACGACCGCCTTGGCATGAGAGACTTGTGAGAGAAGACGGGGCTCGAATCGGGTTCCTGGTTTGGGAGTTAGAGTCAGATTTCACTTTAGGCAAACTAGTTCTTTAAGAAACTTGAATTCGAGGATTTCACGCCCCAAAATCACCAAACGGCATCGGTTTAGCACGAAACTTGGCACACACGACCGCCTAGGTACGAGAGACTTGTGGGAGAAGACGGGGCTCAAATCAGGTTCCCGGTTTGGGAGTTAGAGCCGGATTTCACTTTAGGCAAACTAGTTCCTTAAGAAACTTGAATTCGAGGAGTTAACGCCCCAAAATCACCAAACGGCATCGGTTTAGCACGAAACTTGGCACACACGACCGCTTAGGCACGAGAGACTTGTGGGAGAAGATGAGGCTCGAATCGGGTTCCCGGTTCGGGAGTTAAGGCCGGATTTCACTTTAGGCAAACTAGTTCCTTAAGAAACTTGAATTCGAGGAGTTAACGCCCCAAAATCACCAAACGACGTCGGTTTAGCACAAAACTTAGCACACACAACCGCCTAGGCACGAGAGACTTGTGGGAGAAGATGGGGCTCGAATCGGGTTCCCGGTTTGGGAGTTAGAGCCAGATTTCACTTTAGGCAAACTAGTTCCCTAAGAAACTTGAATTCGAGGTGTTAACATCCTAAAATCACCAAACGGCGTCGGTTTAGCACGACACTTGGCACACACGACCGCCTAGGCACGAGAGACTTGTGGGAGAAGACGGGGCTCGAATCGGGTTCCCGGTTTGGGAGTTGGAGCCGAATTTCACTTTAGGCAAACTAATTCCTTAAGAAACTTGAATTCGAGGAGTTATCGCCCCAAAATCACCAAACGGCGTCGGTTTAGCACGAAACTTAGCACACACGACCGCCTAGGCCCGAGAGACTTATGGGAGAAGATGGGGCTCGAATCGGGTTCCCGGTTTTGGAGTTAGGGCCGGATTTCACTTTTGGCAAACTAGTTCCTTAAGAAACTTGAATTCGAGGAGTTAACACCCCAAAATCACCATACGGCATCGGTTTAGCACGAAACTTGGCACACACAACCGCCTAGGCACGAGAGACTTGTGGGAGAAGACGGGGCTCGAATCGGGTTCCCGGTTTGGAAGTTGGAGCCGGATTTCACTTTGGGAAAACTAGTTCCTTAAGAAACTTGAATTCGAGGAGTTAACGCCCCAAAATCACCAAACGGCGTTGGTTTAGCATGAAACTTGGCACACACGACCGCCTAGGCACGAGAGACTTGTGGGAGAAGACGGGCTCTAATCGGGTTCCCGGTTTGGGAGTTAGAGCCGGATTTCACTTTGAGCAAACTAGTTCCTTAAGAAACTTGAATTCGAGGAGTTAACGCCCCAAAATCACCAAACGGCGTCGGTTTAGCGCGAACTTGGCACACACGACCGCCTAGGCACAAGAGACTTGTGGGAGAAGACGTGGCTCGAATCAGGTTCCCGGTTTGGGAGTTAGAGCCGGATTTCACTTTAGGCAAACTAGTTTCTTAAGAAACTTGAATTCGAGGTGTTAACACCCCAAAATCACTAAACGGCGTCGGTTTAGCACGAAACTTGGCACACACGA